ACTGAGCTTCGCTTTATTCTTTTGAGCGTGTGTATAAATGATCCAAATGTTGCCGTTTGAGAGAAAGCAAAAACAAATCATCCCGCATATGGCTTTTCTTTCTCAACAACAGCTATTGTATTAATAGTTTTTGCAGCATTCCTGAAGAGATTGAAAGGAGTTTTGCAGCATTATACTTTTATCATTATGTTTAAGGAATTTTCCTTGTAACCAGGATTACATATTAATAACCTGCATTGCTCACTCTGTCAAATTGCTTTGTAAGAATTGAGGCCAGGACTATTTAGGCCCTGAGCTTTATCTGGATGTTACCAGTAGTATTTTATGTCAGAGTTTTGTTTACTTATTTTAGACTGGTTAAAAACTATAAACAAGATTTAATTGATATATAACAATAACATTTTAGTAAAATTCCATTTTGAGGCCATAAACTTTGAATCAAAAACAGTCTTCTAATTTAACATACAAACCAATCAACTTTATTTGAGAGTCAGATTTAAAAAACCCTGGACATTACAGAAGCATAAAAAAACAATCCTGCCAAAATAGATTTAGTTTACGCAGATTTGAGCATACTTTAAAAAAGGAGTATTTTAAAAGAGAAATTAGATGACAAAACTGGCAACTGAGCAAGTTTTTGCACATCACCCATAGTGATAGTTCTTCACTTTGTAATTATAATTTTTCATGAGACCAATGCAGGATATTTGAGCCTTATCCTCTGACCTCAGTAAACATATCTGTGTCTCTTCTAGCATTTGGAAACTCCAGAGCCATTGTACTCACCTTTGCTTTTTTTCTTCACATGCAAGTAGGGACTCTCAACAAAACTGTATACAGTACAGATAACCCTTGACTTAAAACCATCATTTGGTGACTGTTTTTAAGTTATAATGACATGAAAGAAGTGACTTAAAACCAGTTTTCATACTTATGGCTATTGCAGCATTCTTAGTCACATGACCAAAATTAAAGTTCTTGGAAACGTATTTATGACAGTTGCAGCATCCCAAGGTCGTGTGATCACTATTTGTGATCTTCCCAGCCAGCTTCCAATAAGCAAAATCAACGGGGAAAGATGGATTTGCTAAATGATTGTGTGCTTCACTTAAGAGTTGCAGTGATTTGCTTTACACTTATATGGCAAAAAGCTCATAAAATTAGGTATGGCACACTTTGCTTTTCACCTTGCTTAGCAACAGAAATTTTGGTTCCAATTGTGGTTGTACGTCAAGGACTACCAGTACTACCTAATGCTAGCCATAAAGTGTATGTAACGTCACAACACAGAGACATTTAGTGAGGAGGGTGTTTTTGAAGAAGAAAACTAAGATTTGAGCCTTAAAACAAACCATTTGTTGTTTGATCTTGCTCTAGCATTCTTCAATAATCTTGTTTCTCAACAGGTCCAGTCAGTTACAAAATCAGCTTCAGGGCTCTTGGCAGTAACAGTTACATCCTCTTTTCCTAATCAAAAACCTACTGTGAACACTATTGAGAATGTTGACTGTCTCTTGTGGGCCATTGGTAGAGAGCCCAATACTGAGAAGCTAAACCTTGACCAATTGGTAAGTGGGAATTTTGTTTCTTGATGCTGTACGGAATATTAAATGCATGACATGCACAATCCAGATTATATTGCAATTGGCATGTGGTGGTTAGGGTTAACTGTAGAGAATAGCCATGATCGACAGTGGAATGTTATTTTTTCTTACTTTGCTGCTACTTGCTGTTCTGTATTTTTTCCTACTAGAGAATAAATGTAACAAATATGGTAATTCTGGGTGGTACACTAAAACATGGGGGGGGGGGGGCAGAGACAGTTGATATTCCATGGCTCAGCTTCCCACCCTGTGTCCCACAATAATTGTATCCTAACCTAAATGTTTGTTCATATTGCATAGATTAGTTAGCTTGAAAAATGGTTATAGAAATGTTATTTTTTTTCAAAGCTCTTGATCTTATGGATAGGCTGAGTGCGTGTTTACTTTTTGAAATAATTTCCTTCTTTTCCTTTATATGAGCACTAAAAAAGTTGATACCATACTGCTCACTCTGTCTTGGGTAGCATTTCTTATGATTCCAGCTTTGACTTTAATTTTTCTTCCTACTATCAGAATATTAAGGTAGACAAGAGAGGCCATATTATTGTTGATGAGTTCCAAAATACCAGCAGAAAGGGGATCTATGCTGTTGGAGACGTATGTGGGAAAGCACTCCTCACACCAGGTAATAATGTTTTAAGGACTTTATCAAATAAATTCATTTGGGATTCTAAAATGGAACAAAGCAAAATGGGTGAGGAAGGGCTGTGAAGACATGGGAAGAGTAGCGTGACCACCTATTAATGCTATGTAATAAAATGTATGAACAAATTATTACTACACAATGAATATTGCATTTTTCAGTTGCAATTGCGGCTGGAAGAAAACTGGCACATAGGCTTTTTGAAAATAAAAAGGATTATAAACTGGACTATACCAACATTCCGACTGTGGTTTTCAGTCATCCACCAATTGGAACAGTGGGGCTAACAGAAGGTAAGCTCTTGTTTCTCTGCTCTTTATTTCCAATAAATAAGAAAGATATGAGATAGAACTCTTACTAAAATGAGATACCCTTACTATCTACGAATTTTGTGACTGATTGGAATTGTGTTGAATAATGTATGGAGAGTAGTAGGTTTCCCAATTTCCTTTGGGACATTCTTTACAAGAGTGGCTTGGTAAGGATGTGTATGCTCTGAATTTGTATATTAACAGGATGTTGATGGAAATTCTACTTAGGTTTGTTTATATTATTGATGCACAGGACACTCCTACCTCTGATAAAGTAATATAAATTATGGACTATGGATAGAGCCAGTTTGGTGTAACAGTTAAAGCATTAGGCTAGAAACTGGGAGATTGTGAGTTCTAATCCTGCCTCAGGCACAAAATCAGTTGGGTGATCTTGAACAAGTCACTTTCTCTCAGCCCTAGGAATGAGGCAAGAAAAATGACAAGCCACTTCTGAGAAACCTTGCAAAGAAAACTGCAGGGACTTTTACAGGCAGCTTCTGAGAATTGGGTACAACTGAGCAAAAGAAAAAAAAAGCTGAACTGGGTATTATCACACATTCCTGTTGTTTCACTTTATATTAGACATTCCCAAGTTCCGAATACTGTTACCCATCATGTTATTTTATTGTTTAAACATTTTAAAAAATTTAATGAGAAGTATGAATAAAGCACCTCTATTCATAGGATTTTTGAAGCTGAAATTACAAACTGATATCAAGCTTGGTTTTTTTAAAAAATAAACTGCACATCAAATTCTAAGATGTGACACATGTAATAGAGTCTCAGTTGGTAAACTTATGATCTTCAAGTTCTTTTGGACAAGTCTTTTCATAATTAGAACCACTGAGGTGTGTAATTGAGCCAAATGTGAAGGAGATCAGTTCACCTATCACCAAACTTGTCAATATTTAATCCTTTTGAGATGTACATATTATATAGGATTTGGTAGTATTGTCAGAATGCCAACTGCATGAGATTCTTTGCTTTTTTTCTCCCCTGTATTCAAATATAACTAATGTCATTTGATTTTGTTCCAGCGGAAGCCATAAATGCACATGGAAAAGAGAATGTGAAAATTTATGTAACTTCTTTTGTCCCTTTGTACCACGCCATAACAGAAAGGAAAACAAAATGCCTGATGAAATTGGTCTGTGCCACTAAACAAGAAAAAGTAAGTATAAAGCAGGGAAGAGTGAAGATGTTGCATGTTAAAATTGCTTTTCATGTACTGTATATTCTATTCAAGATAAGGAAATGAGATGGGAGAAGATACCAACGTTACTTAACATGTAAGCGGAATCAAAACATCATACCCAATCTTTGCTTCTCGAATAAACTCTAATTAGCTAGTCTCACACATCTTATTAAACCTAACTCACATCAAACCAATATTTAGTCCAAGTCTGTAGCAATTATGAGTTGTACCATTTAATACTCTTCCAGGCATGATGTATTAAGATTTTGTATAAAATTAGTAAATGACACAGCAATACAAAAAAAAGATTGTAGGTGTACAAAATATTGCTCCTCGTGTAAAAAGATAGGAGCAACTGTGAAGTCTGAAAAAAAATGTCCCTTTGAAGCCATGTCCTTAACCTGCCTGTTTTGTTTTAAGGTGGTAGGACTTCATATGCAAGGTTTGGGGTGTGATGAAATGCTCCAAGGTTTTGCAGTAGCTGTCAAGATGGGAGCAACAAAGGCTGACTTTGATCAGACAGTGGCTATTCATCCAACTTCTGCAGAAGAACTTGTTACGCTTCGTTAAGCTTACATAACTTGGCTTTCCCCATGGTGAATTAAATACTTTTTTAAAAATAAAACTCTACAGTTCAAGAGAAGTCTTCATTCTGCTGTTACAAATTAAATTACAAGGATGTAATTTAAAAACCCTCCTTTTTTGACCTAGTTTCCTTGTGATCATTTAGACATATTCATAGTGACTTTGGCATCAATACAGAAGTGATCTGTCATTGCTTTCTGGCATGGTGTTTTCAGGTTCCCAGTGTAGCCTGCTTTAGTGTTTTCCAGTGGTGTCCTATCCAAGTACTGGCCAGACTCAACCCTACCTAGTTAGCCTTTGAGCAGAGACAAAAGTAGTAAGATGCTACCACCTGTTGAGACTGCAATAAAATGTGCTAAAATGACAAGCAAATTATCATATAACTTCATACTTTAAGCCCAAAGAGGAAGTAAAATCTAAGAGTAAAGCAGAAAAAAACCCATTTTGGACTATAGAGGAACAAATGGAGGAAGTACTGCAATTATAAACTCTATAATAATTAGTATTTTGGTTTACTGAGCCTTGGATTGTGAAAGATACCATTTCCTGCCTATTGGGAAGTATAACCATGTAGAACTTACCTCATAAGAGTTTAGTAAGAGCAGTACTTTACTAATTCTGTAAAACTCTAAACATTTAGTTTATGTTATCCCCCTTTGATTTATTTCCCACAGAAATTACCAATGTACAGGTATTTATAACTATAAATTAGGGAACAAGCTTTTCATCACAAGAAGTAAATTCTACCAAGCAATATCACATTCTGTAAAGCATAGCGGTAAGAGTTCCCATTCAATTATAACATTAAGCAATATTAATTTCTCAGTTATGAGAACTGAAAAATGTGGATTGGGGAGATTGCTGCATCCTAGGTGATATATATCACTATATTCTTCTGTTTGTTATTGCCGTGAGGTCATAGGGCTGATTGCTATCACCTATATAGCACAGCATAGGGAGCACATATAGCTTTTAAGGGATGCTATGGACATGGGTGACTTTTGTTCCACTGCCGTTCTCCCTACATAAGATTTGTATATAATTACATAGTGTGTATATGTTTATTTTTTTGCCATGTTATCATACATTAAATAATATACAGCTATACCTTGCTACTGCATTACTGAATCAGCAGCTAGTAAGATGATATTTATTCACTTTCACAAAATATTTGCAATTCAAAATATTAATTCTAAAATATACTTGCACATAAGTTCTGTATAATATAATGGGACTAATGAACATCATTCTAGGAATTTGTCCCATTTCATTTTCACAAATACGAAATTAAATGGGATGCAGAAAATCTTGCAACGTTTGTGTCCTGTTAAGAGAATTGGGCTATTTGTATTTTATGTTCAGTTTATGTTACTTTAGTAAGTTTATAGCACCATTTTGCCCTTCATTTAAAACAGATTTAAACTTGAGATTTCAAGTGTACTATTTTAAATTCGCTAGTTTAGATCTGAAGTCTTTAAGGTTTTGGATTACATTTACCAAACTTAAATATATTTGGGGTTAAAAGAACACAAGATGGCGGTCATTTTGAATTTCATCTTAATAGTAGGCTTGAAAATTTAACTAAAAAATTCTATATGCCAAGGTCTCCAGTGAAATTTGTCATCCAAACACATACTCCGAGTGGCAATATCTAGCCAAGTTCTTTCAATTTCCAATTTCATGATCTGTCACCTGATTTGTCTTATACAATGAAGCAGGTAATTATTTGTGTGCACGCTGAAGAGAAACACAAACAGATAAATTATTCCATTTCAGCATATCCATCTGTTTGGAATAATGATCTGCAGATTTATTTGTTCAAATACATCAATAAGATGCAAGCACTTTCATGACAAATATACAGAAAAAAGGGATCAACACAGAACAGTAACCTAGTTTAAATGGAAAGAAAGCTTATGACAATATACTCCCAAGAGATTTCTTTTCTCCAGTTAAGTTACTTATGTCAATAAAATAGAGGGCAATAGGCTTAAGAGGGACATTAGTTTGTAGATTTTCATTAAACTTCAAAATGTTAATACATGCCAGTTGAACACTACAACTAAAATGTACATATAAGCAAAAAAGGGAGAAATTAGTTACCTCTTCTCTCTGAACAGTCCAGTTACTACAGTTATAGCAGGCAAACTGGCTATTGGATTGACTGATAAAAGGTTTAGTGTGTGAAGTCAGTCTTATGTTGTGCTCAAAACTGCTCATCCTCATTCTGGCACAGTTTGGTCCATAAAGAGGCTTTAGGCTGAGACAGACCTCAACTTATCAAATAAATTGTTGCTTTAAAAAAAAGCCAAGTATACTAGTACTGCTGAAGGCCAGGCTGAGATGTTTATAGGAAGTAATCTGGAGTACGCCGAGTTACATGAGGCTCTCCACGGCGAGGTGCTGGGTCAAACTGAAGGCTGTGGAAAGAAAACAAAAGCACTTCTGTTAACTGATTATGAACGTATAGACTTATTTTTATGCGATTCTCAACTTGTAAAGGATATTAATATTGATGCTAGTATTTATGTAATCCATATGCATATAATCAAGTCAAAATAGGTTTTAAGTGTTAAGAGGGTTTTTTTTTTTTTTTGGTAAAAAGATGCTATACCACAAACAAGCAATGTTTGAGAAAGAGTAGTTTTCTGGAGGAGTGCAGGACTCCAACAAATAATACTGACATCTGAAATATTTCTATCAGGTTTTGAGCAGACAGGGTGTTTAAGGGTAGGCGGGCAACAACTGGCATCTTGGACAAGCACTTCCCATTCCAAGCTTAAAAATCACCTAATCCTTGGAAAAAGGCTGAAATCCAGCTATTTTATCTGAGCTTAGGTTGTTGTGGAAAAGGGGCACGTACAACTTGTTTTCAGGTTCTGTACTATGTTTTGAGATACTTACAACAGGACTAAACACTATGCACTATGAATTTGTAATAAAGCCAAAAGAAAATATTTTGCACTAACTGAAACGAAAGGTACAATTTAAATTATCCTTTTTATATTACTCTAAAATTAGATTATCAAAGAGATCTCCAACCTAGAACTAAGGAGAAATTTCCTGAAAGGGCTTGCCTTCAGAAATGATGGGTGCTCCATTACTGGAGGCTTTTAAGAAGAGACGGGACAACCACTTGTCAAGAATGGTGTGGGGTATCTGGGGTTGGGCTAGCTAGAAGAACTCCAAGGTCTGTTCCAATTCTGTTATTTTAAGTTCTACTGAGTCCTATTTTAAAAAGGTTGTCTTGTCTAATCAGAACTAGGAAAAAAACAGCAAATTTCAATTCATGTGTTCTCAATTCTATCATGTCTTTCACAAACTGTTCACATAACATATTCAACCAGTTTAGTTAAAAACCTAATAACTATTTGTGCACACCCCATGCTAAATATGTATTTACCTTAGTTCATTTGGTTTGATTTTTCTGTGGCAAAATTACAACCTATTGGGTTAGTTTATGGCTCACGTTAGAAAAATTACAATCTTATTTTTCTGCTAAAATATATTTTGTTAAAACTGTAGGTTCTTACAAGGAATATTTTAAAGTGTCATCTAGTTCCATGATAGCAGCCTGATTTCCACAACGGTAACAGTAATTAGGTGCGCTGAAAATAGTGACTACATTTCGATCATGACACCAGTTGTAGCCCTGTAATGGGAGAAAAATAGTTTCAATAACACAAGATACATGACTTCAGTAAGAGACATCCAACAAACACGTTGCTTTATCTTTTGCAAATGTGTTTTACTGAAATGTAATAAGACATTAACAGTGAGTTTAATGCACTCTGAGATGAAAAATCTTAACTGTTCATGTCTTCCACAAAATTCTTTAAAATATTACCTGTAGATTATTAATATCATAAACCTTTGACTTATGTTTGTATAATGAAGCACTAAACACATGTCTTTTAAAAAGCGTTCCAATTCACTCATTTAAAATTTGTCAAACTGAGACTTCATTAAGATTGATAAAATATAAAGCTACTTAGAATTGCAGAGGTATCACACGAGTGACTGATGAAGGAATTTACAAAGTCTGAAGAGGAGACTGGATTAATGTATTAGTTGAAATTTGCTCCATATATATAAAGGTCACTACAATATATATATTGTATTGACCTTTAACCTACTGGAAAAAAGCAATTATAGCGAGACTATATATACTAAGCTGTGATATTCAGATCCAAAGACAGATGAGTACTTCCACTGAGATTTGTATGCTCACTATACCAGTCAGCAGAACTTTAAAGAAATCGAATCTTTCCATGATCTTGCACAGCCATACATGGTACCACAAAAAATGCATTTTGGCTAAAGAGACAGTAACATGTCTCTGCTATGACTAGTATTTATCTGAGAATGCAAGATTACAGGTCTAAGAAAAAGCATGGTTGCTGAGAGGTTCAGCTAGTGGAACTGTGCCATATCTGAAACACCTTTGACATTTCAGATTTACTTATTTCCTTCATATAAACTTTTTTTGCCCAAAGATAAGGCACTTTGAATCCTCAAATGAATGGTACAATGTAATTTTACCTCCATTACAAGTTGATGAGCCCGAGACACCAATGTAAGTCCATTGGCATGGTTAAATGTTTCAGAAATATCCTGACCAAATGTGTAGCCTGCACCACGTGGAGAGATCCCCCAGCCACCACGATCATCTGGATCTGACCATAACAGATCACACATTGGACCCTATTTAAAAATGGGAAAAATAGTTTGTACACATTTATGTAACTCCAATATATGGAAACAGTAGCAGCTGCTTATATGTTAATTTTAGTTTCTTCTAAATTCTAAAAATTTGATAATTTGCTTTAACATTCTAAAATTTAAGTTCTTCAGCAATAGGAAAAATACCATAGTCTCCATAAAAGGACTTCCAATAATATTACCTCATGTGGAACTTCCTGCAAACGATCAAGTGCTCTAATATGATCCAGTGTATCTATAGAAGGAGAAAGACCTCCATGGAGACAGAAGATCTAATAAGAGAAAAGATCAAATTATACATATGCAGGCAGTCTACCGTAAACCTTTAATTCTTGATTAAATTTTTAAGGCCACCGAATTAAGACTGACTCTGAGCAGACTTCCTTCTTCCTGGTTTACTTATGGAAGATGTTGGCAATTTTTACTTTGATTTGGATTATCTGAATCTAATGTCAAGTCACTGACACTGGATAATTGTAGTTTAGCTTAGTAGACACTGTCTTTGAAATTCATAACATTGACTTTTTACCTCTAACCACTGTTACATTTAACAACTATTCAGTTTAAGTTACACACGCAATAAGGTATAGTTAAAATTATACAGCTTCTGATCTTTATCAGTCTTCAAAATTTTAAGATAATAGCACATTTTATCTAGATTAGTATTTTAAAAGTTATGCCTATCTAGAACTATATGGTCTTCTGGATATTTATCCTTTATTATGTATAAATGTATTGTGAATGTGTATATGGACATTTTCATTTAATAGCATGAATTGAGGATGTTAAATCTGAGGCAAAGCATCAGGCAATTATACTACCATTAGGCAACTGTTATAATAACTTTCACACACCTGCATCCTTGAGAAAGATTTCCAAGAGTAACAAAAAAGACAATACCAGGTACTCATTTATTATTCAAAGATAATTATGATGTAATTACATTATTTTATCAAATGTTCGAACTTCATTTAATGAAACCTAATGAGATCATATGGTTGCATAACATTACTTACCTGCCCATCTACTAGAGCTGTAAGAGGAAGATAATCAAATAAATCTGTGAAATATTTCCAAACATTGGCATTTCCATATTTCCGCAGACATTCATCATAAAAGCCATATACTTGTGTAATTTGTCTGCTTTCATGATTGCCTCTTAAAATTGTAATGCGTTCTGGGTAGCGCACCTAATCACAGAGAATAAACAGGCATTGTAATAATCCATCCACATAATTGGTCACTTCATTTTACTCCAAGTTTCACACTTAAGCCTTTGTACATAATGTATACTAAAAAACTCAGTCTAAAAATGCATTACAAATAGGCTTCTAACAACCTCAGTTTTACAAACTCACCTTTAATGCCACAAGAAGTGTCACAGTTTCCACTGAATAATAGCCTCTGTCAACATAATCTCCCATAAATAGATAGTTTGTATCTGGCGATTTCCCACCAATTCTAAAAAGCTCCATAAGATCGTGGAATTGCCCATGGACATCCCCACACACTGTGACAGGGCACCGAACCTCCTGAACATTTGATTCTTTTGTTAGTATCTCTTTAGCCTAATCAGGGAAAGAAAAAAAACATACAAACAGCTGATCAGCTGGGAAATCTGCCTAAATTAGATTTACAACTAAATTAAACAAATTTCAAGAAAAATTCCTAACAGAAATGCTAGGATATTTCTTTGAATTCATTACAGAGATTCAAAATCCTCTTCAGCATCAACTATACTCATAATTTTGCTCACTCGGTTGTTTCCTTCCAATCTCATTTTCTTACTTATAACTGGCAATTAAGGTAGTCTAATAAAATTAGGGGAATGAAAGTCAACATATATTTAAAAAACTCAGGACGGCTTTCAATTATAAATGCACAGTATATATACAAACCTGAATTTCATCAGCAACAGGCTAAAAAACTGAAGGTACCAAAACATTAAACACTAACTGGAACATTGTTTTCTTCCACCTGCAATCTTTTACCAATAGTAACTTTTAAAAAATATCAGTTTTTAGAAATTATAACTTATTTTTCCCCAAGCACATCGTTTGCCAACAATAAGATCCAGAGTGGATTGGATTACTAGATTTGAAAATGTATGCATTATAAATCTAATAAATCACTGATAGGTCTTCACATATAGCAAGGCTGTCAAAATCACAGCCTGCAGGCTGGACGCATCATGCACTAGCCATGCCCATGCCCGGTTTAGCAAAGGGGGGGGGGAGTTATGATACGTCACATGATGCTGCCATGATGCCGGGAGTTTGACACCCGACATACAGTATTACTTAAATGAATGTAATATCTAAAGTTAGCA